TATTACAAAAACTTTAACGCAAATTCTAAGTCGAAAAAGGGGCATAATTCTGTCAAAATGCTTGATAGAGTTACCTCCTCCTGTCTACATGTTGGGGTCATGATGGTGAACAAGTGTGCAAAGTTTCAAAGCCATGTGTCAATGGACTTTGAAAATATTTGAACTATTACAAAAACTTTAACATAAGTGGTTACGCCGACGCCGACGCTCAGGTGACTACAATAGCTCTACTTATTCTTATCGAATAGTCGAGCTAAAAACATTTACAATTTAAAATCATCTTTATATACATAATGTGAATCATAATGCTGAATTTCTTTTATAAATACCCCTGCAAAGTTCACATTTTTGTACCTAGAGGTCATGACCTCAAATTATTTCATAAAAAACTTCAAAATCTAGGTCAGCTGATACCAAAGTTCAATTCACATCTTAATCTGTGCACATGGTCCAAATTTCTTAGCTGTACATCAAAGGACAAAAAAGTAGGTCATTTGTCAAAATTTAGGTCAGTTTATATAAAAATTCATTTTTACATCTCAAACTGTGCACATGTTCCAAATCTAATGACTGTACATCAAATGACAATAAAGTAGGTCACTGTCTCCTTGGGCAAGGTAAAATTTTGACCCAAGGGTTTAATTAAAACAATCTTGATACAGGTCTCCCAGACAATGTTTTAAGTCAAATATCTAAGCTGTAGCTTGTTAATCTTATTCAGAAAACATTTGTTTTAGTTTCTGTTTTACTATATGTACATAAGAACAAGATTGCATTTGTGAAAAAACTATGCCACCACATTAATACAACACTAAATAGTAGTGCAGGAACAGAAGATTTCTTTTGGTTTCTATACAAGTGAACTCTGCCATAATGCACTTGAGTCTAGGGAATGTGGTGGTCAAGGTCATATTACACACAGCCAAAATTTCACGACTGTACATCAAAGGAAAAGAAAGTAGGTCACATCATCAAAATCTAGTTCAGCTGATATCAAAGTTCAATTTTACATCTAAAACTGTACACATGGTCCAAATTTCATAGCTGTACATCAAAGGACAAGAAAGTTGGTCACATCATCAAAATCTAGGTCAGCTTATATTAAAATTCAATTTTACATCTCAAACTGTGTACACAGTCCAAAGTTCATGACTGTACATCAAATGACAAGAAAGTAGATCACTGTCCCCTTGGGCACAGCAAAATTTTGACCCAAGGATTTAATTCAAACAATCTTGATACACTGGTCCTCCAGAAAATGCTTCATGTCATTTAATACAGGTCTCCAGAAAATGCTTCATGTCATTTATTTGAGCTGTATAGCTTTCTCCTATTTAGAAAACATTTGTTCTAGTTTCTGTTTTTAATTTATTTTGATAATGAAAATCAATGACCCCAGGGCTATATTTTGAATAATCTTGGTAGAAATCCACTAGGAAATGTTTCATGCAAAATATTTTATCTCTACCCTTTGCCAATTCAGAGAAGAAGCTTTTACTATATACATGTATTTACACACCTCCTCTATTGTTTGTGACAGGTCTATATTTTTCCGATAGACCTGTTTACATAAAAGAAAATCTGTACGAGGTCTATCTTTTGCACGTGCGGAGGTCTGATCTTGTCAGAAAGACCTGGTCATGTAAAACACGTGAAGAAATTGACCTGCCAATGCGCAGATAAAGAAAACATTAACTGTAATCAAAAATTAAAAATAAAGAAAAAACCATTGATTTTATAATATCAATGTCATAAAAAATCAAGACACAAAGTTTTAAACAAGATAATGTTTATTGAATGCACATAGCAATTATTCCAACATCCCTCAGCCCCTGTCAAGATTTAATTCATGAACTGATGAAGGAAAAGTATCAAAGGGCAGTAACTCTGTATTTTGTCAAAATGGAGTTATGGCTCTTGTGCACTGCACTTCCTTTGAATGTCCTTGACAACTGTATGAAGTTGTACTGAATTCCAAACAGTAGTTTTCAAGTTATGCTCTGGACAAGGAAAAGTAACAAAGGGCAATAACTCTGTAATTAGTCAAGATGAAGTTATGGTTCTTGTGCACTGCACTTCCCCTTATTGTGCTTGACCATTGAATGAAGTTGTTTTGAATTCCAACCAGTAGTTTTCAAGTCATACTGGACAAGGAAAAGTAACAAAGGGCAGTAACTCTGTAATTAGTCAAGATGGAGTTAAGGTTCTTATGCACTGCACTTCCTCTCAATGTGCTTGACCATTGTATGAAGTTATAATGAATTCCAACAATAAGTTTTCCAGTTATGGTCCGGACAAAAGAAAGCAATGGAAAAGTAACAAAGGGCAATAACTCTGTAATTAGTCAAGATGGAGTTATGGTTCTTATGCACTGCACTTCCCCTTATTGTGCTTGACCATTGTATGAAGTTGTTTTGAATTCCAACCAGTAGTTTTGAAGTCATGCTCTGGACAAGGAAAAGAAACAAAGGGCAGTAACTCTGTAATAAGTCAAAATGGAGTTATGGTTCTTGTGCACTGCACTTCCTCTCAATGTGCTTGACCATTGTATGAAGTTATAATGAATTCCAACAATTAGTCTTCAAGTTATGGTCCGGACAAAAGAAAGCAATGGAAAAGTAATAAAGGGCAATAACTCTGTAATTACTTTAGATAGAGTTATGGTTCTTGTGCACTGCACTTCCTCTCAATGTGCTTGACCATTGTATGTAGTTATATTGAATTCCAACCATTAGTCTTCAAGTTATGGTCCGGACAAAAACAAGAAGGCAATGGAAAAGCAACAAAGGGCAATAACTCTGTAATTACTTTAGATAGAGTTATGGTTCTTGTGCACTGCACTTCCCCTTATTGTGTTTGACAATTGTATGAAGTTGTTTTGAATTCCAACCAGTAGTTTTCAAGTTATGCCACGGACAAGGAAAAGTAACAAAGGGCAATAACTCTGTAATTAGTCAAGATAGAGTTATGTTTCTTACGCACTGCACTTTCTCTCAATGTGCTTGACCATTGTATGTAGTTATATTGAATTCCAACCATTAGTCTTCAAGTTATGCTCCGGACAAGGAAAATGCAACGGACAAAAAAAAAAACAATGGAAAAGCAACAAAGGGCAATAACTCTGTAATTACTTTAGATAGAGTTATGGTTCTTGTGCACTGCACTTCCCCTTATTGTGTTTGACAATTGTATGAAGTTGTTTTGAATTCCAACCAGTAGTTTTCAAGTTATGCCCCGGACAAGGAAAAGTAACAAAGGGCAATAACTCTGTAATTAGTCATGATAGAGTTATGGTTCTTGTGCACTGCACTTCCTCTCAATGTGCTTGACCATTGTATGTAGTTATATTGAATTCCAACCATTAGTTTTCAAGTTATGCTCCGGACAAGGAAAATGCAACGGACGTCTGGACCGACCGACCAAATGACCGACCGACCGACCACCGGGTGACTCCTATATACCCCCCCAAACTTCGTTTTTGGGGGTATAAAAATGGAATAAATAACAATGACTTAGCAAAATGAAGTAAAAGTGATGTCTTTACATAATATAAAATCTTACGGCAAATTGTGTCAAAGAAATAAATTGAAGAGGAAACTGGCAAGTTGTGAATTCTAATAACAATTCAAATTTGTACATAGGAAATCAATCAGCGCATAAGTGTTAAACCAGTTTCATTACCTGTGTAATGGGCTTATGTGTTTTGTATTTGTACTAAAAACACTGTCTATTGTGTATTTAATGGCTGGTAAAAATCAGCAGCCGTAGAATTAAATGAAAATTGATTTTGATGTCACATACATGACTTGTAAACAAGAATAAATGGTAAGTTGCAAGTTATTGTTAAAAATGTTAATTAAATTGTGTCAGTGTTAAACACAGGGTGTTTCAATATTTTTATGAATAATTCATGAATGGTTCATGAACAACCATTTGGCCATTGTTCATGAACGCCCCCAGTTCATGAACAACAATTTGGACATGAATTGGATTCATGGAATCAGGTTCATGAGTAACAGTTCTTAAATCAGGTTCATGAACAGTTCATGAATAAATTTGTCCAAATTGTTGTTCATTCACTATTCATGCATAGAGCATGAATTATCTATCAAATTCTCGACAGGGATCACTGTATTGCTTTTTTTTTTAGATAAAAATTATAGACAGCACATCAAAGTAAAGACACATTTAAGATTTATTTAATCAATCATTTTTTAAGTAATAAGTAATAATAGTCTAAGCGGATCTTCTGGACGCTACAAGTTCATTTTTATGAAAATATAACAGTTATCATATTATAACGATTTTAAATCACAAAATCCATAACATCTTAAACTTTCTAGAAAATACATAGAACATAAAAAGTCTACCAAAAATATCATATCGAAAAAAAAATATTACAAGAAAAATGTTTGTTTACAACGCCTTTGTGATCCAAATGACATTTGACCGCCGCCACGAGAAAAGGGCACTCGGGCATTTTTTATCGATTTTTAGTTTTATGACTAATATTTTAGGACATGCATTATTGTGCACGATGCACTTTATTTCACATTGATATTGCAAATACTTTTTGAGATATAGAGGTTTAAAAGAGGACATTAATGCAACGTCAACAACAGATTTACGCAATGTCATAATAATTATGACCACGTCAAATGTAGTTTTAGCAGATAACAAATGAAGTCAAGTGTTTCAAAAGTTTTAATTTTGCACTTACTAGAATAATACTAAAATATATAAAAGTAAGATATTAAATATACTTTAAAACTATTTTATAACACTATTCTCAAAAATTATCGTATTCTTGAATAATACATGTAAAACAATTACATTTTATAATTATAAGACTTGGCCCATGCTGTCATAACCTAAAGAAACTTAATAGCAAAACTTTAATTATAAAAAAATTGTAACAATTGAACTTGAAAACAATAACAAAATTCATCAGTCAGTCTGTACCGCATGCAGCGTGAATCACTCTTCAGTGTATGCGGGCACGTGGCATCTTGGTATGCAGGACGCACATATTTTCTAACGTTACGGTATAAATATTTCGCGCCGTGTACGACTTAATCCTGCGGGCTGTATGACCTCGGGAAAGGTTGTTGTTAGAACTTCAGTATTACTTCTTATCAGCGGAACTCTAATCTCCTCGCTATCTGTTCTTTCCTTTACAAACACAGCCGAGTTAGGAAATATCGCGTCAAATACGACTTCCAGTCATACCTGTGTTAAAATAATGTTATTTTTATTAAATGCAGTTAATAATGTATATATATTAACGTATATTCTTATTGAAAATATATACCATCTTTGTGAAAAAAGATTTTAGGTATTGCATTTCTTTTCTTCTGTGTTGCATTTAAAATAAATAACGTTTTTTGTTTGTTGCTACTATGTATGTGTATTGCTAGCGATCGCGTGGCTGTGATAGTGATCATCATTATTATACATGCTTGTTATAATGTTTAAACCTACATGATATTATTGACTAGTTTTCGAAAAATCTGTTTTAAACTCTGTAGAAAATTAATTACCATTTCCATGTTTGATCATTGTTTTCATTTCGATATAAAACAGGGAAATTGTTCCTTGCCGATTTTATCCACAATGTCTGCAAATTGACTCAGACTCTCCCAATCAGACCTCTTGAATAGCTTTTTAATTCGCCCGAAGCCACCATCGACAAGACACCTTAGATAAAAAATAAAGTACAAGAATTAAAGAATGACAGTACAAAACAAATTAGTTATCATATAAACATAAAAACACTGTAGTAGTAAAATCCACTTCGTCACATTATTTTTGAGTAGGCTGTTACTTAACTATGTGTTCACTTATATCTGAATAAAATATGAGGATTTTATTTAATTTTGTGACGAAACATAAGGATTTTTATTACTTTAGTAACATAACCAACGCTTACGAATATGCCGCAACAATGCTATGTATAAATATATCAAGGTACTTATTTTTGTATGCCCGGGAATAGCCATATTCAATTGAATGTGTTCATGTAACCCTCTGTTTACTCTCCAACAAAGATAGGCCAGTGTGTATCTATTCTTATTTTGACCTGTTAACAAGAAAAAGGAACGGAAATAACTTTATATTACTTGTTTTAGTATTATTAATAAATGAACATGCTGAATATTTTTTATTCATAAGTTAATGTAAAAACAAGATTTACCTCCGCAATTATCTGCATGTAAGATAAAGTCCTTTCTCGCCAAATCCGTAATTCTGTAAACAATGATGGAACATGCTTAATAATGAATTTGGTCCATGTGTCCCAGTTCCATCTAAACCTGTAAGGTCATAATAATTTATATGAAATACAGTTTTATATCAATTAATAAAAATGGCAATAATATAGCGTAGTGTAAAAACTCATTAATGCAAGGATCATAATTATATTTCGGATGGATGGAGGACGACAATATTGCCTGCACGTCAGTGCATGAAAATAACCCACATTTACCCACATCCAATCATATATCCATATCCTATTCTGTCATGATATACGTTTCTAAGTAATTTGGTTAATAGTTAACATACCTATAGACTGATCTTCATCTATTAAGTAGTTGAACTGCTCACTTGTAGAGTCAATGCGGATACCGAACATATTTATTTTCTGCCTGTTACAAAGTACATGGGTCCATCTGTCGACTGTGATGAGGGATTGTCACACTCTGAACTGTAGTCAAAAGTTGATATGAACCTGATAAAATTGGCACCAAATTATATTAATCAATTAAAATACTAAGCATTTTTTTTATATTATACATGTATGTTGACTATTCTAATGATGACTTTATTTACTAATATTCTGACTAATCTAAGTTTACCAATATGAATCACATATGCATTTTCCGAAAAAGAGGTCACTTTTTTTAACAACATTTCTAAAACAAATGTTTGGGGCCTAAATAAGGCATTTTTTCATCATTTGAGACAACAAAAAAGGGGAGGTGAAAAAGGCGTTAAAAGGCGTGTATATAAAGTAATGGGTTAAATCCATTTTTTTAATTATCAAATATTAAGACAGGAGCCTTCAGACTATTGCACTCTCAATATGTTATTTGCACTAATAATTATAATATTGCACGTTTATAACGTCATTTTTTCAACGGATAATCGTGACGTTAATAATCTGTATGCACTGCTGCAATCTATATATATATTTATTTCATTTTACTTCTAATAATAAAGAAAGTTTGCATTATTATAAATTCGTAATAAAAATTCTTAATGAATGTAAACGGTAATTTGCAATTGCCTTACGGCTCGGTTATATATACAACAACCGTTTATATATGGTCATATAACCTGTAAAAGATCTTTAAAGCTTATACCATAGGCATAACTGTCATATGCATACCTTACTGAACTCTGTGGAAAATGGTGCGACGGGTATTGTCGGTCGGGTGTAACCTACCATCTCTTCTCTCGCTTGAATAACCGCTGTCATGTACGCCTGACGTTCTGTTTGAGCATCCTAAAACATTAAGGTAAAACATATTGTGGTTTGTCCAAGACGAGGGCTCAGCGCAAGACTATTCTAACTCAATATTTTTCAGAAAATGTTTTTTTGACATTTTCTTGTATAAATTCCTTCAATGCATGTTCTCTTAAAAAGACATAATTAATGTCCCACTAATTTTAAAGTTTTACACATTTTAAGAAAATATTCTATCTGGTGATATAATATATTCAGTGCAAAACTATTCTAAGTCAAGTTAGAATAGTTTGACAATCACTTTTAAGTTTAAAAAACTTGATATTCCTTAATGCAAGACTATGCTAACTTCAAGTTAGAATAGTCTAGCGAAATTAAAGATGCTGTAAACAGGAGTTATTGCTATTGGAACTATTCTAACTGAAAATAAACAAAGTTTGATGATGTCATCACTGGTTTCAGTAAATTTCAATAAAAGAACAGAAGAATAAAAAAAAGCTTTATGTCAATACAATCATGAAAAAATCATCTCTGAATTTAATCCAATTAAAAAAATATATATATATATATTTGAATTAAGTGTTGCCAGTATGAACAAATTATTAATAAAGAAGGGTTTTTTGGCCCTGATTATACCAACTGAACAATGAATACCTATGTGAAGATGTTTTTAAAATTCTATTTAAATATTCATATGACAAAAGAAAAAGGAACAAGCAAAAAGGCAACAATATATGCCTTTAACAGTATTAAAACAGTATACAATATTAAATCCTGGGATAAAGTATGCAAAGTGGGCGATAATATTTTCTGACAATCAGTGTTTATGAAAGCATGCAGTTTTTATAGAAAGGTTCTTTCCAGTCTGACTTAAAAGTTTAGATCTACTTATTTCTTACATGTAGATCTGATTGCCCCCGTATTTCTTTAATCTTCATTGTGATTTGGATTTCCCAGGAAAGCTATTTTTAGCAATGAAATCAAACCGTCCTTTACAGATAGGAATAAGATGAAGTAACAAAATATTGTTTTCTGTTAAAGTAAACATAATTGTTGATTTTTGATAGAAAAAAAATTATTGAAGTAATGTGAAATACACTGGAAATTAATGACTAAATTTTTAATGGGCATTGTTGTTTTGCCTGTTTATCTGCCGGCTATATAGACAACACAATGATTGTTCTCGAAATTGTGAAAATGACCTACTTAGTAATGGTTTTTTAGCTGTTAAAATTAGAAACCATATCGCTTTCAAAATTGTGAAAGCTCGCCTATGATTGGCTATTTGAAAGGTTATGAGAAGGTGACAATATATTGGTGATCGTCAGATCCTAATGTGTATAACTAGAACCTGATTTTGATCAGATTGGAGTCCATTCTTACATTTGCATGCGATTTATGCGCAACATTTTTGTATTTTACAGTAAAACTATATTGCCTCCTATTTGTAAAAGGAATTTATAATTTGTTTGGAAGTTGGGTAAGGAAACGGAAGAAAAATGAGAAGAAACTCTTATAGCATCTCGTCTATTATACCAGTAACTCCTAAAGATTCTAATTATTCCAGTTCAAATAGCATGATTTAAGTTTTCAAGCCTGTACATAATTGTATTCTTTCTTTGTATTTACAAAAGTATACTTTATGATAAGAGATAATCTATTAATACCATGTACATTATTTAGTCAGAGTTATGTGTTTATTAATGTTGAAATTTTTAATTTTGAAAACTGCCAGAACTTTCACTGAATTTATGTATCTTCAGCATCCTTTATTGCTTACAGTAAAAAAAAAAAAATTTGTTTTTGAGGATTTATTTCATAAAAATAAGGATTGTTTTTACCAAAGCAGCACATTCTTTTACATTGTGACAATTAAGTAATACTACAATATTATGACAATTAATTACTTCTAAAATACATCTTCTAAAGTTCTAAAGAGTTTCATTAAATTTTGTGTTTTGTATTTAAATACACTTAAAATGTCAGTTTCTAAGAAATTATAAATTTTGATTGGCAAACTTTGTAAAATAGTGTTTTCCTGGTGCATGATTGTCAATTTTATTATGTTTTAATAGTGTCTATCATTTTAATAATTGATCATTATATACATAAGTTACCGTTACACATGTTAAAATGATAAAATATATTTCATAAAATGAACACCTGATGCAATATTTTGACACAGCCACAAGTGAAAATAATATCACAAATAAATCAAATGAAATATTATTTGATCTTACATGCAAAATAAACAAATTTTGCATTTATTTCATGTTTTTTATGGTTTTAAGGCACTTTGATTTTTTTTCTGCGTATCATCATATATAGTACTTTATCACATTATGTTTATATTCAAAAGATAATTCTGTAGTATTTCATTAATTCAGTTTATCATTTTTAACATATGTGCAAATATTTAAGTGCTCCTCATCATATATCACATTATACTTATGACTTAGCGTATTTCTCACAATATGTCCATTTATTACATGCTTTTCAGTGGACAGTGAAATTATAAAATATAATTATCACAGTAGCCAGACTATATCTGAATGCGGATGAAAAGAATATAACTTAAATACATAGAAATACCATCAGAATACACACAATTACGATTAAAATGTGCTTGAAGATGAGAAACACATAAATATCTAGTTATCTACAGTCATATCATTTCAAAAATGTAACGTTATTTCCTAAAAGTTTATGGGATTATTTTTCAACAAGAACTATGTGACATCATAATTTAATGACATCATTAATGAGAGCGCATGTCGTTATTTGGCAAAAGTCAGGAAAAAAATATTAAAACCGATAAAAAAGCATTTTTTTCCATGTTATGTGCAATTCATGACCGATTTTGCAGTATTTTTCAACCTTAGTTCTATTGCATTACTAACGCAGTAAGGGCTATTTTAGCATATTTTGACCTCTTTTTGGTAATTTAAACATGGGTTGTAAGTGCTGTTTCAATGTGAAAATTACTTTCTTTTTTCACTTCACAATATTTTACTTTATAATTTATTTTCAAATTTTTCATGAAAATTAGCATGAATCTGGAGGCGTGCTGCTTTAGGTTAAAGGATAGTAAATTCCTACAATGGTTTAATTTTGCATCAACAAGGATGCATTTACAGCCCAAGCATGCATGCAATGCTTTCTAGCACAAAGTTCCATATGTTCATCATTTCATTATTTGTGTCATTGCAGTCAGTTATTTTTACATGGTGCCCCGAGTCATGCATAACAAGGGCTTTTGCCTCAACATGAGGTTTAATATAAAGAATCTGCAGATTTCACTTTTAAGAATTTTTATAAAAACAAAAGATAAGACTATACCCTATTTTTGTGTTTGTATGAGATAATAAGTCAAGATTGCCATCACTTGTACCTACTATATATTTTAGTAGGGTATAAATTACCTATAATTATGCAAATATGTAACAATATCAAATTATAATACATATATGTATATACATGTATATAATATGGTCTTGGAACACGGCCCCAAACCCAAAAATACCTTCAAAAAATATTATTTAAGAAATCAAATTTACTATCAAAAAGTAAACATATATTCTAACTTGATATATAAAAGACATTCTTAACTTTCAAGTTATTGCAAAATTAATCTATCTTAAGATAGAATAGTTTTGCACCAGATTTAGGAATCAATAGGAAATATTTTATAGTGTTAAAGTATTCTAACTCAAGATAGAATAGTTTTGCACAATAAATATTAGGAAAAAGTAGCTTTTCTAGTGCAATACTAGGCTATGTTAGCATGTAGGCAATAAAATGCATATTTTACACTTTTCTTGAAAAAATGAACATGTACACAACTTATATGTATGTTTTGATAAGATTGGTTGTGATTTTTTTTTCAAAAAATGAAATCACAATAAAATAACATATTTTTTCCATTTCCTGAAAATTTTTCAAAATACAAGTTAGAATAGTCTTGCGCCGAGCCCTCAAAGATGTACATGTATATAAAATATCTATGATTTTTATGCCTACGGTATTACTTACATGAGATGTAACAAAGGGAAAATAAAAAGCTACTTTGAAAAATACAAGATAACAATTAGCAATATAGAATACCTGCACATGCTCCCGGAGACAATTTGCTGCATCAAGTTTTGCTTGCTCCGTCACAGCATCCATATCACTATG